TCATAAAAAAGGAGATAATTTTTTTTTTTTTTAAAGTACCTACTTAAAGCCAGGTGTGGTGGCACATGCCTTTAATCCCAGCACTCAGTAGACAAGGCAGGCCTGGTCTACATAGTAAGTTCTAGGCCAACTGGGGCTACAGGGAGACCCTGTCTCAAAAAGAATAAATAAATAAATAAATAAATAATAAATAAATAAATAAATAAATAAATGGTGTTTAAAAACCCTGATACCCAGGAAATCCCCCTGCTCAATTAAACTAGAAACCGGGAGGTGGAAATCAGGCATGAGTGCCTTTACAATGTTCTCAAGTGATTCCAGAAGGTAGCCCAAGCTGGGGACCATTGTGATAGCCCCCTTTTTCTTTTTAACAGCAAGTAAAAGCTACCTATTGAAAAACTGTACCATTAACAGTATGAGTAAGTGTCCTTCAGACCACGTGGACTGGCTTTAAGCCACAGTTAGAGACTGGTGGTGATGCTGGCTTGACTGCAACCCAACAAATGTTAACTGGGCAGTTTTCATTCATGGTCCCTCCCCTGCCTCCCAAGGACACCCTTCCATTCAACTTCAATATCCTTGGCTGGTATGAATTTAAGGGAAACTAAAAGGCAAGTTTGCAATCCCTATTCAGACCAAACAAGCCAGAGAGTAAGCAGGCATCACCATGGAAACAGTTCTCCCCACACATGCCAGATGCCAATGAAGACAGTCATGCCCCCCAGGGACACGAGGTTTCTTCTCACAGAAGCACAAAGAGCATGAGGCAAGGAAGGGAGCTTCACTCAGTTCCAGGGAGCTTCCCAGTCAATTATGACAATCTCACATGAGGCCAGCCACTGCAATGCTGCTGCTTTCAATAGCAGATGGTGATGCTGTTGCTATGGTACCCAGGGCTGACAGGAAATCGAATTTGATTCATTAAGTGTGATTTCCATCCTCACTGGGATGTGTGCTACCAGAATGTAAGGCTTGACAAGAGCAGTTTGTCTCCTGGGCTTTTCTGCCTGGGACCAAAATCATTCTCCACACTTGCAGAACTCACAGAAAGCAGAGAATGCAAGTTGGACAGGAACACAGCCAAGCAGCTGGCTCCCTCCTGGAAGGCTAACCCTGATGCCAGGACCAAAGGTTAGAAGACTGCCCAGTAGACAGGACTCAGGGGTGCCCAGAGTCCATGGTACCAGAGGTAATGCATTTGGGGAGCCTGGAACAGGTAGCATGGTAAATAATCTGTCTTTTTTTTTTTTATCTCAATACACATTGTTGATGCAGGGAGAAATGGAGCTGCTCACGACGCTCTGTGTGTTGAAGTGCTGAAGACCTCAGCAGGGCTGGGATTGAGTCTGGATGGAGGAAAGTCCTCACTGTCTGGAGATGGGCCCCTAGTCATTAAAAGGGTGTACAAAGGTAAAGTGTATCTCCATGAAAACTCCATCTCTTCTGTTTGGGAACTGAACTTGTTTTCCAAATTCTGCGGTGCTTTTAATGCTGTAACATACAGAGCTGTGCTTTGCATGTGTTAAAACTCACGTGTAGAATGCACGTGACATTGGGTGTCTTCCTCATTCGCTCTCCACTGTATTTACTGAGGCAGAGTCTCTGACTGAACTCAGTGCTCACCAATTCTGGCTAGTCCAGCTAGCCAGCCTTCCTCAGAGAGCTGCCTTCCAAAGGCTGGGTTATAGGTGGGCTGCCATGAGTTCTGGGGATCCAAACTCTACACATGTGCTGCTAGTGCTTTATCCAGGGAGTCATCTCCGCAGCCTGGAATGTTTTTTTTTTTTTTTTAAATCTTCAGATTCCTAAACAATGATACAATTGTACAGCTATTATTAGCACATAAATATATTTACAAATGGACCAGAAACTACTTCGCTCGGTTGTTCTTAGCTAGATTGTCTTTTTCAAAATGACATCTAGTTTCCTGACCTTGTGGCCTGTTATAATTACACAGTAACTCTGAAGCCTCTCTTCACTGCTGACACATACTATAAGAGCTATGCTTTTAAAAAAGAGAAGACAAGGCATAAGGTCCCACAGAGGCCACAGGACCAAAACTGAAGAAGGAATGATGGAGGTTAGGGACACTGACTCAAGCTGTTAGTCTACTACTTTCTAGAATTTCTCTCAGTACAGAACTTCCATAACCATCCCATTCAGACCATCTCTGAGACCTTTCCTCCTATCAAAACTACCCATTGGTCCTTTACCCTAGTTCTGGTCTCAGTTGTAGTCAAATAAAAATGTGAACAGTATTTTTTTTTCTTAATTCAAGAATTGTAAAGCTTCTCCACCTGGGCATAACAGCTCATGCCTACAATCCTACCTCAGGAGACAAAGGCAGGAGGATTGTGGCAAGTTTGAGGCCAGCCTGGACTGTACATACATAAGCGAGTTCTAGGCCAACCAGGGGTACATAGCAATAAGACCCTATCTGGAAACAAGCCAAATCAAATTCCCATGTCCAAAAGAAGAAATGAAGCCCCCTTGGCGGTAAGCATCTCTGTGGCCCAGAAATATGCAGTGGAAACTGAGGCTCTACGCATGCACACACCGAGAGCAGGAGCCAAGCACCCCCCACACCACTGGACCAAGCGTGTAGTGCTGTGAAGGGCTGGGGTGTATTCTCTACTGGTGACCTGAGGTTGAGACAGCTCTACTTTAGAGCTCGGGGTGGCAGCCAAGATAGGCAGTCTCAGAGGTTCACTGCCCTGTGGGCAAGCAAAACACAAGCACGAATCAGGAGTCAGGCTTCTGCTATGTGTGGCACATGGGCTTACCAGTGCCAGGCTAGAGAAAACCCATCTCATTAGCTTGTCAAATTGAGAGGTGGCAGAACAGAGAGAGCAGGATAAGGGAGAGATGAAGAGCGGAGAGAGCAAGGTAAGGGAACGATGAAGCAACTCAAGAGCATGCAGGAGGGGCAGCTCCTAGGGGAAGAGAATGAGCTTGTGAGATCTGCTGCCAGTAGAACTGATACCCAAAGAGCCCACTAGAAGCTCAATAAAGGCAGCTCTTGTGCATGCAAAGACACAGCCACCAGGCACTATCCAGGATGCTGGGTGCACTCACCAGACACTCCAGTCTACTAGCACCTTGATCTTGGACTTCTAGCTTTTAAAACTCTCTCTGGCTTTCAACTGCCTCTGGTTTTCACACCTTCGGGAAAACCCAAACATGTCGTTACTTCAGTGACTTGGATTGGTTTTGGTCCCAGACTCGATGTCATGATCCAAGTGAGATAGTATTCTACACCCACCTCTCTGAGTACCAGCCTAGAGCACAGCAGTAGCGGGTGCAATGGAAATAAAAATTGGGGGCTGGAGAGATGGGTTCTCTTCCTGCAGAGGACCTGAGTTTGGTTGCTGGCACCCACACTGGGTAGCTCACAACTGCCTGTGCTCCAAGGACACTGCACTCATATTCCACCACACACATACACACGAATTTTAATTTTTTTAAAAAAGCACAATTTGGGACATCTCCCAGAGAACCTGGCCACCCTAATAGCTGGGCACTTGCCTCTTAAGTCCTTTCTCTTCCAAGCTATATTTTAATCAGTTTTTACAATCAACTGTAATCATGGGTCTATAAATATCAGTTTTTGGGAAGCTCGTATTTTATCTATGAATGTACATGTCCTTATGAGTGCAGGTGCCTATGGAGGCCAGGAGGGTGCTGGTATTTTAGCTCTTAGTTTCTGTCAGCCAACTCTTTTTCTGTATTGCTACTGATTTACAGGATATTAGGGTTTCTTTTTTGTTTTGTTTTTTGAGATAGGGTCTCCCTATATCCCCAGCTGGCCTGGAACTCTTCGTAGGCCAGGCTGGTCTCCATCTCAAAGATCTGCCTCCCCATACTAGGATTAAAGGCATGTGCTGCCACACCTGGCTTGATTTGTGGTTCTTTGGCCTAGGTACTTTGTTGACTAAATGCATTATCTTCCCTTTATGAGTTGTTGATTTGTCTGTGGCAAAGGGAGTGTTTATACAGTTGTTTTGTGTAGTCTACCTTATTTTTCTGAATGTACATGCTTTGCGTTTTACGAAAGTTCCCAGGCTAGAGAGGTGGCTCAGCAGTTAAGAACACTGACTGTTCTTACAAAAGACCTGGGTTTGAATTCCAGCACCCACATGGCGACCAACAACTGTCTGTAACTCCAGTTCCAGGGGATCCGACAGCCTCTTCTGTCCTCCGCGGGCATTGCATGACAGGGGTGCACTTACCTACATGCAGGCAATAAAATAAAGTTTTTTTTTTTTAAATAGTTCCCTATCCTAAGAACACAGGAGTATCACTGAGAAATATTTCCCACTTAAACTTTTGGCTGCCCTTTTAAAGAAGCAATACAGGTGCTAACCCCTTACTCTGCATTTGTTCTTGCAGGTGGTGCAGCTGAACAAGCGGGAACAATAGAGGCTGGAGATGAAATTCTTGCTATTAATGGCAAACCCTTGGTTGGGCTTGTGCACTTTGATGCCTGGAATATCATGAAGTCTGTTCCCGAAGGACCTGTGCAGTTGGTAATTAGAAAGCACAGGAATTCATGAATTTTAACTGGACTCTCCTCTTTTTGGTTTGCTTTTTACTTTAGCAAATCAGAATGACTTCTTTAAATGATGGGTTCTTGAAACAACAAACAGCAGCCTAGATGGGGCCTATACAAATTCAATGCCTGCACTCTAGCATGAAGCCTGACCTATTGTGTTGAGCAGCAATGACAGTGAAATTCCTCCACCGAGGCTGGGAGGATTCACTCTGGTCCAGTGCCTGAACCCTCCTTTATGTTGGCAGTGGGATAAGGAGATGGCAGGCCACTTCATCTGAAACACCTAGCTGTATCTTCACATCCCTCCTGTCACCTCTCCCAACATAGTCCTGGCAAGTAGGGTAACTCAAATACCCCAGCGAAAAAGATGTATGTAGGTTTATATAATTTTGTAAGTAAATGACACAGTGCTTTTAGGTACATTCAGTGAAAGGAGCCATAGATCTACGTATGTTACCCTGAAAAGAAAATGACACTTATGAATTATGACCTAATTATTAGGCTGAGCTCAGGAATTACCCAAACAATGAAAAAAGAAAAATTTAGAAAGTACTATTTTTTAATGAATATAATGTATAATGTATGGCTGCAGAGGTCAACTCGATGGGTTGTGGACTAGGACGTACTGATCATTTTCTATTTCTACAGTTTAAATCCTACGGCTGTTTTACAGAGTAACAGTTCTGATGAACTGTCCTAAATGGCTGTGAGCTTCCCTGTCAGGAGTAGGAAGCGCCTACTCCAAGCACCTTGCATCTAGTTTTCCAACTTGTCTTGAGACAATGTTTGAATTCAAGACTGGTCAATACAAGAGCAGGCAAAACTGTCAGTCACTGGGTTTCCGTTTCTAGCTTACGTACTCCACCACCTTAAAATTTTTAGAAGTCAAATCTTTTTACATTTATAAACACAGGCATTCTATATGAACTGAGGAGCTTAGAATAATTCTCTTAGGAATTTCGGTTGGTTGGTTTTTCTCTTTCCCAACATGCCTAAAGAAATGTAGTTTGTAACTTCTAGGTCGCTTTACTTGGCTGCAATAACAGAGCGCTGCAGTGGCTGAAGTTTTTGCTGTTTTGGTTTTCCTGTTTTGCAAATTCTTCCTTTTGCCAAAACAGTGGTCCTGCAGAGCATTCTGACTCCAGCTGCTTGTGGAACTCCAAGCCTGCCATGAGCTGCTTCGGAGCCCTTCCCATTCAATGTGCCATTCCTCGAGCCTCATCGCAAAGCTGGCTTTTCTTCCTTTGCACTGTCCCTTGTTTTCTTAAATTCCAAAGCCTCACCAGCGTTGTTTACCAAAACTTCACAAGAACGAGGAGGGCAATGGAAAAACAGGGTGAGACAGGACGGTAGTATTTGCAACCAAACCCTCGGGCAGCATAGTCCTGGGGTTACATTACAGGTGGTGACTGCACTTCTCAAATCTTCATGCACAATGCTAAGATTTTGTTGATTTCTTTAACCTACAGTTGGGCCTAGGGTGAATCATGGTGGTACTATGAGCTATCTTCTTTGCACATCCTTTTTCAGAGACTAATCCTGCTGGCCACCTGTAGAGCAGGCCCGGAGAGGGCCCTCAGGTGGGAGCAAAATACTGGCTATTTTCAACAGGATATACAAAGGAAAATGTAGTTCAGGAGTTAGCTAGAAAAGCCTGCTTGATTTAGCTTATACTTTTCATTACAGTTACAGGTAGGATACTTATAAGATGTCAGTGCAAGGTGCATGCTAGATTGTTGTTTCTGTCTCTGGCGTCAGTTTCATGGTTTCCGCTTTCTTACCTAAGTGACCACTTGAAGTCAGCATGGAAAGCCATCTTTTGCCTCCACTCTTTTACAGCTATGCCGATTAATAAGAAATGCCCAATCCTTTGTGAATGGACAGGACTTTCTACAGCAATTTGGAGCAATGAAATGTTCTCCTTCCAAGAGTCCCCAGTGCTCTTATCTAAAGAGTCTGAGGAGGATCCCTGGCTTCCCACACTATGTTGAAGTCATCAACCATCTGTACTAGATCTTGCTAGAAGGGTTCCTTGACTAACAGTAGGAATTAAGGGAAGAGGCAAAGCTAAACTGTCTTTGACCCCGAGATAGAGAGCTATTTACTTGTCTTCAGTGTTCAAGGCATGACTAGTATTCCTAATTAGTCTAATAAATCCCCACACTTCCTGCAGTGAACACTAATGGTATTGTTCTAAACCCTTTTTTTTTTTAAGCTGGTCAGTCATTCACAGTAAGCTATGAGGGTAAAATGTGTTATAACATATAAATCGTAGTTGCAAGAAAATACCGTGAAGGCTGAAGTAGGCTGGGTTTCACGTCCATCCTCCTCACACATCGTATTGCATTGTATGGTTGGCTTCATTGGCACCACACCTGTTGTATATTATACATCATTCTTTATGTAAAATAAAATGCCTTATATATTAAAGAGTAAGTGCAATAATATGAAATGCCCTGTACATTTAAAAAAATGTCGCCAAGTTATGTAAATCCACATCTCTGTAAACAATTTTTTAAGTAATTTTCAAAAAAATAAACACTGCTTACTACTTGTTTTTCATTGCTATGCACTGACAGTAGAAACAAGATTAAAAAAAATCTACTATTACCTTCTCACCTGCACGCATGAGAGGTACAAAGGCAAGGGAACTTAAATTTACTGTCCTTTTTCCATAGCTACACATAGAATTATGACAGTGTAAAACAAGCCACCTCTAAAATCCCATAACTCCTGACTCACGACTTCCTATTCACTTCCCAATATGTCTTGTCTTCATTTTAACTGACACTTCACCCCCAAACCCTTCCCATTTAAACCCAACCCCCACACCTCTTAGGGCCCTTGACGCCCCACACTCCGGCCTGTCTTGCTAGCCAATCCTGGATCCTTCCATCTGGCCAGCATCTTGTCTCTTACTACTATTCCTGGAGGAAAAAACCCACACTCGCACTGAAAGATACCACTGTCAACTTCAACTGGATCCTCTTTCCTGTCCAGCAAGTAACTGTTGATAGTTTTCTTAGAGACTCTACCTTCCCCGTCAGACTTGATTCCGGGTCTTAGTTCACAGGTTGAAATAAAAATCATCTTTGCTGAGGCTCTCCAGCTTTAAGATGCAGGTAGCAGCTCAGGAAGGAGGCAAAATGGCATAGAAATCTAAGAACAATGTTCTGAAAGTAAAGTTCTGATTGCCTCAGCAGTCCTATCAGAGTATAACTTCTTCCCAGGAAGGAATGAGCATCTGTGTAACTCCCTCTCTGAAGCCCACTGAAATGAACAAGAGAAGCTTCCATTGTCATACAGCATGGAAATAACCACCAGCCCATCCTATGAAAATGGAAACTATATAAGCACGTACAGTCAGCTCTAAGACCAAACAAAGGAGATGATACAGGAGGCCTTTCTCCCCAGATGTGAGCAGCACAGGAGGCAGGAGGTGAGGGTTCTGAAAAAGGCCACTTGGAAAGGGGGACTAGAAAAGGCGAGCCCTTTAAGAAGCAGGATGCACTCAATTGGAATCATCTTCATGCCTCAGGATGGTTAGAAAGGGGACGTTAAAGGGGGGAATCACTTATTTTCCCAGGCATCAAGTGGTCAGTCTAAGCAGGTCAGCGGAATAACATGTTGACAAGGAATGAGCTGACCTGAGGGAAGCCCCACCTGGTAAGATCCTGCAATAAAAGGTTCACCTGATGCAGAACCACTACCTGCCCAGCTTACCACTTCTCCCAGAAAGGCCACAGTGACCATTACTCCACACCCCCTACTCCAGACAAACGGACACACACGTGCACCAAAACATGAGGTTTGGAAACAAATCAGCTGGTATACAACTTCCCTCTCCTGGTCTAAGGGATGAATTCAGCAACGCTAAAGAACTTCACAGGATCTGTTGCTGACGAACCAGGGAAATGGCAGGTTTGGAATTCCACTCTTACCAGATTGAACTCAGCAATACAAATGTATGACTGGGAATGGGATGAACAGAAAGGCAAGGAGGGGAAAGTATGCAAGACAGACATAAACCTGATAGCTTCTTAAAAAACCAGCTTATAGGGAGGAAAAGAAATTTGATTCACAATTCCAGAAGTCAGTTCACCATCACTTGGCTCCATCAGTTCAGGTCTGTGGCAGAACAGTACACCATGGCAGGAGCACATGGTAAAGGAAGGCTGTCCGCCTCAAGGTGACTGGGAAGCAAACAGTAAAAGGGGGCAGGGCCCCAAGATTCCCAAAGGTATGTCCTGCCCTCCTAAAGATTCCACTGCCTCCCTATAGGGCCACTGGCAGCCAAGCCTTCAGAATACACCTCCCAGTGACATTTGATATCCAAACCAATTGGGTATGGTGACACATCCCTGTCAGGAGGTAGAGACAGAAGGATCAGTTTAGGGTCACTCTTGCTACACAAGACCCTGTCTCAGCAACAGTAAGATAGTTTGGGTAAAACCAGGTGAAGGGAGGTGACCCAAGATCTCAGAACATAAATCATATACTGCTTACCACTCCACTAAAATGGGTGGACACTAGAAGGTACCTGACCCGAGTCTCTCTTCCGTAAGAACAGGAGAGTCTGTTAAATCCTGTACAAAACCATAAGGAAAAAAAGCATGAGCAGCCAATACAATCCCTGCAGACAACAAAAGCACACCAGAGACATGCCCAGGAAACAAACTGTGACTCTACACCTCAAAATGAGCTCCAACACTGAGAAAAATGACAAAATGTGACTGAATAACCAAGTTAGAGAAATTCAGAAATCCAGCACTAGCTCAGGAGACAGCCAGGCATAATAGGACAAGCCTGTAATCCCAGCACTTGGGAGGCAGGCAGAAGACTGTTTTAAGTTCACTGCCAGCTTAGTCTACACAGTGCGACCCCGTCTCAAAAAATAAAACAAGGACTGGAGAGGTGGCTTAGTCAAACTGCTTGTTGCAAGCACTGAGGACCTGAGTTCAATCCCCAGAGCCCACATAAAAAACTGTGTGCTAGTAATCCTAGCACTGGGAAGGTAGAAACAGGACACCTGGGCCTCACTGACCAGCCAGTCTGGCCTAAGTGGTAAGCCTCAAATCACTTAGAGTCCCCATCTCAAAAAAGAGGGATGATATCCCTGAGGATGACACCCAATATTGTCCTCCAGCCTCCATATCTACCATGCACATTAAAAAATAAAACTCATGAAATTCAGGAGAAAAATAACTTCAGAAGAGTCATTCAGAAGCACTCACCCCCAATGAATAAAACACCTTAAAGCAAAAGAGGACTAAAAAGAGGAAAAATGTCTAAAAACCAATACAAACTTTAAGAGTGAGCTGCACGGAGGAACGCCACATAGTGACAGTCAAATTAGGAGTCCTTTATTAATAGCCGGTGGTCAGAGAAGGGGCTAATGCACAAAAGAACTCCCTACTCCAAGAAGCAGGACAGGTTTATAAAGCTTAAAACCACAATTACATCATGCCAGGGGCAAATCCTATAATAACTATAGTTATATCAGATCACCATAGTTACTCCAGACCAGGGGCAGGTCAGATAACAAAGAAGTTTTCAGTTAACAAAAAGTTTCAATTAGGAAAAAAAAGTTTCTCAGAATTGTAGAAACGATGGGTTCCATAGAGATGCAGGTATAGCTGGGAGGTAAGCCATGCTATCTGGACATGCCACCTTGGCTACTTCTAAGTTCCCCAGTAGAAACAATGTACTCCCTGAAACTGCCTGCATGAGATGTCCTGCCTGGCTGGCTGCAGTGAGAATGGCTGGGCAAAGACACAGGGTAAAGCAAAAAGCTCGAACAAAATGGAGTTAGTTTTGCCATTTCATTCCCCCTGGTTCTAAGGCAGAGTCAAAACACTGACTCAGTGCTCTCTGGTGAAGGGGGTTGTACTGGGCTCTCAGGTACATTAATTTGACACAGGCTATTTGTTGTTTGATAAAGTTTACCAACCAGTTAATTAGGCAAGGCCCAATCATTGGGTCCAGCAGATGAGAGGTGGTCTTAGGCCTGGAAACAAGCTAAGTCAGCCATGGATTCTAATCAAACCAGCAATGGAACCAGGAACTGTTGGCTTCTCTCTTCTTTCAGAATGGGTGGGGTGGCAGGGTGTAGAGGAAAGTGGGAGGATGTCTCAGATGCTAGAATGGATTGTACCCTGGATCTGTTGGAGACTGTTCAGTAATTTTTTAGAATAGGGTCCCTCAGTCTAAGTAATAGGGAAGACAGTCTTCTGAACATAATCTTATAAGGGGTAAAACCAATCTTACAGCGAATACATCTAATCCAGAGGACCAGGGGCAGGGGGTTGGGCCAGTTTTCATTGGTCTCTAAGATTTAACATTATCTGAGCCAACTGACAGAGGCAGTCCAAACCTAGGAATTGTCTTATATAGGAGGCTTTTTTATCATTGAGAGGGAAAGGCCTCCATCCAATTGGAGAATGTAGCCACAAATACCAGAAAGTAGTTCAGTCTGTTTGGTGGCACCCAGGTGGGTTGTCTGAGGAAGCCAGTCCTCAAGGTTTCCAAGGGCTGTAGGAAGGAAGATTCTGAAGTCTGGCAGGATCCATCATCCCAGGGGGTCCTTTTTCATTTCCTGGGGGTAGGAATGGCTCAACATGGAGTCTGGTAGTCTGCTGGGTCATTTGGCCTTTTGCCACGGAAGTGTCAAGAGTCCTCCTTCCTGTAGATCATGGCATGGACATGAAAGGTGGCAAAGGCACCACATCTGTGAGGATGTTCACCCATTTATCCTTTTCCCAATGTAGAGCCTGGGTGAGGGTGATCAGTTCAGCCTTTTGTGCAGCAGTACCCTAGGGCAAGACTTGGGTCCAGACGGCATCTG